TGCTGCTGCGGCTACTGCTACTGCTACATCTACTGCCATTGCACTACTGCTGCTAGAAGGAGGAGCAGGAGCAGTCATGGTGGTGGTGGCAGCAGGACTAGCAGCAGCAGCAGGCTTTTTCGTCTAGGTGAAGCTTCAGGATGGCGGACTGCAACACATAACAATAATTGCCCTTCGCAATTTGTCTCAGCAGTCTCATACCAGGGCAAATCATCAGTTTTATCTGCAGCAAAGCCGACGGGTCAAGGTCGTTTCCTGGATCAACTTGAACAGACGTGCATTAATGTACAGATTCATTCCTGCGGGGTGTGTCGCCGATCAGGAGTCGCAGCTGCATTTGCCGATGTCGGCTCCCAGGTAGTTTGCTGAGCGGCGATAACTGCGCTGCACAGCAGGGCGCATGAGGGAGCCTTGTTTTTGCCCGAAGCTTCCATCCATGAAGTTGACGTATCAGAAGCATCTAGCCTCCGTGGGCAGGGCACAGTACCTGAAAGCCTCAACACCATATCTACACCCAAACCCCACGCTTGAATCGCGATCCGGTCCGGCAGCGACGATGGCTGGCAAGGCAGGTTAGATCTGCCGTTGTAGTCCGTTTGCAGATGTTGTGACACGAAGTGTACAAAACGAGGCTTGACTGCAGGAAATTCGCAAAATGGCCCTTTTTGGGTATCCCCATGGGTGCACAGGATCCTTTGGGCGAGACTCTTCGAGCCTCGTCTGATGTGAAGTGTCCTTTTTTCATGGCTAGGCCGTAATACATCGGGAGCAGTGTACACCCGGAGACGGCAGAGGATACAGAGGTTGAGAGCTCTCGAATCTCAGCTCTGCACCACAGAGCTGAGACTCCATTCTCGGCCCAGCTGTTTGCTTCAGGGGGCCCTAAAGCTCTCAGCAGGAGTCATAGAGATATGGTTTCAGGAGCCCTGTAGACGAGTCTTAGACTACAGGATGAATGCAGCTGTTGCCAGGAGCTGGCCACTACAGATGGCAACAAGGCACGAGAGAAGGAGCCCGGAGCCTAGGATGGGCCTAGAAGGCCTTACGAAGCACCGCATCACATCCAGGCCGGAAGGCTCAACATCCCCTGACTAGTGCATTCAACATAGTCCCCCAGGCCCAGGGTCAGGTTGCTATGACGAACTTTTTCTGTTGTGCCGAGACCTGACATCAAACTGAGACCACCTCAGCGGTCCGTTTGTTTATGAAGCTTATTTCTGATACCTTAGGTCGGGTTTCGTGTGCTGGGTTTAGGGTGTTGGGTTTGGTGTTCAGAGTTTTGTCCGGCACCGTCAGCCCTCAGACGGAGGGGCACTTGGCTTCTGGGGCCCAGGTTCAGAGCAGATGCCCAGAAGCCACTCGACACGCCGCGGACCCGCGAGGCTGGCCATGAGAGGAGAGAGTCGAGGTGTCTGAAAACCTCGGGTTGACGGTTTGAGTTCAGGGGTTTTAGGGTGTATGGGTGGTGATAATGGTTTTGCAACATCACGTCTCTGATTTTCTCCGACGTTCCCGCGTCCTTCCGCTCAAGATGATTCCTCAGTTTCTGGACAGCACCAAGCAGCCTCCGTCCGAAGAATCGGAACATCCTATGACTGATCCAAGGAACACACCATCGCAATTTGTCGGGACACGATCCTAAAGCGGTGGCCTGAATGACTAGCAGCAACGACAACAGCAGTATATATATATATATATATTTTTCACCCTTAGATCATTATGTCCTATGTCCCCTACACAGTGGTACCATATCATGAGACCCCGAAAGCACAGTTCTGGTTGTTACGGCCCTTGTCTTAAACCCTATGATTGCAGCCTGAGAAAAGCCTAATTGAAAACCGTTGTAAAGCACCGTCCCTTCTTTCCACCGGCCCACCTACAGACAGGCTTGTCGCCGCTTGGGCCTCGTGCCCGAAGACCTCCAGTGGTGGACCCGGTGCTCCCACATGACCTCCGGTTTTTAGTGTGAACAGGATTTTTGAAAGTGTCTCAGTAGGAGTTATTAGGATTCTATAGGGGCGTTTCAGCGGTTCGTACTTAAGCAGCATTGTTTACCGTGAATCATAGGGTCGTTCCTCCTTGGGTGTTTTGTTGGGTGCATTCTTTGGTCGTTCTGAGGCTGCAGGGTACCGTGGCAAAAGGCTGAATCCTTGGTCATCTCAGCCCGGTAGCCGTAAGCTCTGAATAGCCCCTTCAAGAGGACACCACAGGCAGGCAATTTCAACACACATTCGCTGAATCGGAGATCGATGTGGCCATGGCAATGATGCTTTCACACCCTCTCGTCTATGCCTGACAAAACCTTGCAGAGGACCTCTAAACCCCATGTGCCTGCTGAGTTTCGCACGAGCTTCGAACTCAAGCGGCCAAGGATTCGTAGCTTCGAGTCCTTCGCTATTCCAGGGGACCTGAAGGCATCAGCAAGCCCGCTTCCCGATTTGTGATTGCAGTGCCTATGGGTGGTTTGATAGCTCGGGGTACGTGCCTTCATGACAATGATCCCACAATTTCGAGGTTCATATCCACGCCTTCCTTTTTCTGAAACTCCTCGAAGGATTTGGGCTTGGGCTTACGGTTTGCTCCAACATTCGCTGTTTCGGGCTTTAGAGTCTCGATGCTTCTCGCCAGAACGGCCCTGACTACACTTACAGACCTACAGTGAAATTACACGGCCTCGGAAAAGAAGTGACAGGAAAAGCATCAGCTCCGCTTCGAGCACTACGAGAAGAAGCGGAAGGAGACCTTACGGTGCTCCGAGCCTTCAGAGATCGCTGACTTCACAGTTTGCCCTCGCAACCGAGACATTTGCAGGTTTTGCTTGCCCTAGACTTGAAGCCTCTAAGCCCTCGGCCTCGGGTGGCGGCCGAGCAGTACGGCCCCCCCTTAGACCGAAAGCCGGGACCCTAAACCCCCGTGCAAAAGCACGCGTCCCACCCGAGGAGCGCTTCTCACAGGTCTTGGCAGAACGTGCGAAGGCCGGTCGTCTGCTAAAGGCCACAAGCTCACCAGGAAGCCCAACTTATATACTATTATATACCCCTTCGAAAAGAATCTCGCTCGAAAATGCAGAGAGCCCAATACCGTGAGAATGAAGGTAAGTCGGGATCCTGGATCTGAGCGCCACGCACATTCAGGCAATTTGTAAGGGCTTCAGGCCCCAAACCGAACCAGAAAGCTCCAAAATAGTGAGATCCTTCACAACGGGAGCTCCAAAAGGGAATGCTGAAACTGCTGAACCTCCTTCGGGCCCGATCCCCAACTTCTTTTCCAAAGCAGACACCCAAGAAGCTTCAATAATTTGCTTTGGGGGGGTTGCACTATACTGCTGCTAGATTTGGAGATACTGAGGAATACCACTGCTGATCATTCAGGCTCCTCACTTAGCAGCCCTAAAACTCCCAAAAAAAGCCACAAAAAAAAACAATAGAAAGCCCGCTTACTCAGCCCTTGGCCCACTTCTCTCGCCCAGATCTTGAAAACCTGAAGCCTATTCCGTCTGAAGTAGTGTAGCAGTATAGTAGATGTGCTGACCAGAGGGCCATAACAACAGTAAGATAAACTTTGGCTATTGAGTTTATTTTTGAGTCTTTATGAACCACCAAAAGCCTTCAAACTACCCTACACTACCCAAAGTTCATCCTGAATCAAACCTCCTTGAGCTCAAAGCCCTCGACCTCCGGACTGGAGGTGATTGCAGAAAACTCCAAGAAGGGAGACATCCCCGGGGTGCAGAGCGCGCAGGTGCGATGTAAGTGCCGGGGGCTAAAACTACAAACCCGGCTCGCCAGACTGGGTTCTTACTCAGGAGCTCAGATTCGGTTGCCATTGGTTACCAGACTATTCCGTATTAAGGTAACTTGGGCTCTAATCCTAGACAAGAACGCGGAAGACTTTCAGACACGCCTTTTGGCCTTGAACCTTCCGGCTCTGTCAGTTCCTGTCGATGTTGGAGTCGCTCTTTGAAAAAGAAGCTCGCCGGATGGAGATTGACATGAAGGCCCGGTGTGAATAATGAGTAACAGTACTATATACTTGCAATAGTACCCCCAAGATACCGCGGTTTGATCATTCAGCGTCTGATTTTCCGGTTCCAGTCTTCTGCCGTCTTTGGCTCTCGGGACCGTTGTTCACTCTCATAGTCAGGAAGCTCCTCGTAGGTGACTCCGCTCCTTACTTCTGTCTGGTCTCATGGCGTCTGTACGCATGATTTGGCCAACCCTTGCCAGGGCCAGCTTCGCCAGCACAGCTCGCTCGTGAAGGAAGGGCTCAAAACGAAGCTTTCGACTGGCGCATTTGCGAGTTGTCGTCTTCTAGTAGCCAGGGTCCAGTTTTCGTTGAAGTGCCTTTGTTTGCTGTTTCCTATGGCCTTGCGTGGCGTGGGTATTTGCACCAGATTTCAAGATTGCAGACTCACACCTGCTCGGACCTGCCCTCCCTGTCCAGGACAACGAGGACCAGCTGAAGCTCGACTGCTTCAGACAGCCGGTGGTTGGTTTCGGAGGTTCAAAGAACTCGGACCTTCTTTTTCGGGTCATTTTTGGTGCCTTTGGATGTTTCCCGCCTTCCTCATGATTCCATGCCCGGCCGGAAGAGCCAAGGAAAAAAGAAGGCCAGCTTCAAGAGAAGCTGATGGACCTTGATCGAAAGAGGCTTGGAATTGGTCAGATGGTTTGTGTCGTGCTGTGGCTTCCTGTGGCCATTGCCACCTCATAGTTCGGGATGCTGAAAAGACAGTCAATCCTCGCACGCTTAACGAAGCTAGAAGTCACTTTTGAGCTGAGCTGTCAAATTTGGACGTGGTGACAAGACGTCTCCTCTAATGACTAATGCAATGTCCGTTTTGTATCCACCTACGACTGCAGTCACGTTCCATAAGGATAACGGCATACTCCAGCTTATGGGGAATGTCCCGTTATAAATGTTGCCTCCAAGACGGAGCCTGCAATGCAAGTTGCATGCAGTCTCCGCTAGTAGTGTGGGTTGCTGAGCTTGCAGCTGCACAGACCGGTTGAGACAAACCACGATTCCTATCTCAAAATCTGAGGCTGAGGATTCGCGGAACTCATCCTAGTAAAACTGCTATGTTTCTGACATGCTCCACGAACCATCGAACCATCAAAGAGTTCCCCGACGAGGGAAGTGGCTTCGAAGCAGTTCGAAGAGAAGGGCAAGATCACGAAGCAGCGGGGAGGGTACTTCTGACCGTGGGTCGGCCCTTTGTAGTAGGCTCCGCTACTAGCATCTGCGGTCGAGGGTCTAGTCCTCAGGGGTTGACGGTTTTTGGGTTTTCTGTTCTTGGGTGTAGGTACTTCTGTAGTCTTTCCACTGGGCTTTCTGACGTACCCCTGGCACATGGTCCTTATGTTTGCATTTTTAGTGCTTGGTGCCATTGCTGCTCTCCGGGCAAGATGTATTACAAGTTCCTTGGTGCGCAATATGATACAATAAGGAGCGCTTTTGCATCAAGCCGAACAATGACAAGCCCAATTCAAAAGCACGGGATTCGGGTCTGTAGGGGTTCAAAGTTCAGAGTCTCCCTCTCGCATTGACAAAAATGTTAAACTGCAGCAGCACCCTACTGCTTTCACATGGCTTTCTCACGCCAGGGAGAGCTTGGACAAGCGTCTCGCAATCAACAAGGTGCGGCATGCATTTCCGTTGAGAGTTCGGCTTTATGCGTCTACACTCTTGTCGTGGGCTGTCTGTTGCAGGCAGGCTTTTGACGAGATTCATTCCGGGCTGTGTGCTGCGCTAGCCGCTAGAAGCCCGACAGCCCAAAAGCGCTGGCTCATGCCTGCAAAGCAAAGACCCTCTGCTTAGGCTTGCCCGGGTGATGCGACATCCGCACGTCCCAGTGATAGATGTCCCAAATATTCTGAATTCACAACGACCCTAAGGCCTCAACAGCCCTTCAGCTCTTCCAGCTCCTCAATCCCCGTCTTGTCAGCGGCAAGGAGACTGTTGCGAAGCTGGATGAGGAACATAAGAAGAAGCAGGTGCGCGTTCGTCGTGTTCAGGGTGTCCTGGAGGATGAGCAGTCAGTCCTCATGCAACTTAAGCTCCCTGCAGCTCTGCCAGTCACGTCCAGAATCCAATATAGAGTTGTCTGCAGCCTGAATCATGAAAAGCGTTCCGTCTCAGTGTTTTTCACGGTCCGAAATAGTTATGCTAGACTGCTGGGACATCCGAACATCCCCTTGTCTACTTCTCGAATACACACAGTTAGCAGCTAACCACCAGCAAACCGGCAAGCATTGAACTTCGCACATCGGCAATTATGAGGGCCATGAGAATTAAAGAGTATATTGCAGCAGCAGAGTCGCACAGGTCCTTCTTCCGACCTCTATACCAAACCCGTAGTCAGAACATGTGCCTCCAAGCCACATATCTTGCGAAAACCTTCAGACACCTAGAGAGAAGCCGGGATGGATGTACTGCTCGTGAGGAACCTAACGTAGCCGATAGCCCCAACCTTGTAAGCATGTGGCACAGGCGAGCTATTCAGACGAGATGGTTGCCGAAAAAGAAAGGCTGGAGAGGTGGGGCCGGGCTTTGTTGACGCCTAAACTGTTGGAGGGACCTTACTGGGTTGCGGTGAACCCATCGACAGACATCTCAGGGTTTGCAAAGGCCCAAAGGTCGGAGTCCAGAGGCCTAGAAGAGTTCTTCTCACAGCCCATGAAGAACGATCGCGAAGCAACCGACAAGATATTGCCGCAATACTTCGTCGAGTGTTATAGAACCCTTAGAGGACCCATACAAACATCCGTCCACAACTTGTATAGCATGTTGTAACGACCTCAAACACCCTTACCAACACCTCTGGACCCCATATATTCCCGAGGTTCATGGAAGAGCGGAAGCTCGCCACTTCAGAACGTAGCAACGTCTTCCGAGAGAGAGTGGCGCAGATGAAGGCCGGTTTCGTTATTTTGGTTAATGGGGGTTCAGGACTTAGTGCATAGGGTTTGCATAGCTGCAGGTATGTATGTATGCATGCATGCATGGATGTATGTAGGTATTTATGCCTATAGGCATGTAGGTCTGTACGTATGTGCGCATGTCCGCATGGATGCATGGATGCATGTGTCGCTGCACCTGTGGATGGATGCCCGGATGTAGGCATGCAGGGATTGATGGCTGCATGTAATGTAAGTACAGGGTGCACGTACTTAGGCATGCATGCATGCATGTGTGTATGCATGTATGCATGCGTGTATGCATGTATGTATGCATGCAATGTATGTGTCTGTGTGTATGTATGTGTATGTGTATGTGTATGTGTATGTGTATGTGTATGTGTGTGTGTGTGTGTATGTCATGTCATGTCATGTCATGTCATGTCATGCCATGTCATGTCATGTCATCTCATCTCATCTCATGTCATGTCATGTCATGTCATGTCATGTCATGTCATGTCATGTCATGTCATGTCATGTCATGTCATGTCATGTCATGCAACGCAACGCAACGCAACGCAATGTAATGTAATGTAATGCAATGTAATGCATGTATGCAAGTCTGCATGTATGTATGTATGTATGCATGTATGTCTGTATGCATGTATGTATTTGTGTTTGTATGTACGTGTGTTTGTTTGCTTGCTTGTTTGTTTGTTTGTTTGTTGACTTGTATTGGCTTTGTAAGTGTTGTCAAGTGTACGCATGAGGTTTCGGAAAAGTATGTTTGTTAGAGGATTTCTCTCTGCGATGCGGCACTTGTATTGATACCCCGAGGCCCTAGACTCCTAGACGCTTCTGAACCCTAATGGTGACAAGTACGAGGGGAAGTGGAAGCTGGTGGTCCACGGGATGTTGGGCATCGGAGCTTTGGAAGGTCGTTTGCCGAAATGGTTTGATTTGGGATTCTGCACGTTCCTTTTTTGCACCGATATCTCCAAAATTATGTTGTGATAATCCTCCAGTCTGAGGGATCAGGCTACCAGACAGTATAGTTGCAAGTAGCTGCTGGGCTGTTCCCAGAGCAGGAGAAGAACGAGATCCTGCAAGAGGCACTTTCCCAGCAGTGGTGTGGGTGTATATACGAATAAGTCTTCTAGAAGGTTTCCATAAGGGTCTTGTCTAGGGGTTGGATCAGGGCTGTATGGAACAAGCCTGAAGTGTTAGCGATCAGTCAATCTGCCCCTCAGCGCTTCTGAAATATACTCGTCTGATTAAGAGTCAGATACGTGGTCACTGGATTGAGTAGATTTGGGTTGGGGGGCGGGGGCAGAAATACTCGTAGCTACTCGCATCCCAAACCACGGTTTGCAGAACTATTGCGAAAGCTGCCCATGATTCCTTAAGCAGATGCTTGGTTCATCTCCCTGGATCGGGGGTCAAGGCGAGGACACTAGAATACAGCTGCCAGATCCTTTCTGTCGATCGGGCCATGCGGTAGCGCAGATTATGATTCCCTCAACCCGAGGCTGAAAGATGAGACTCTTCTCGGGCCTTTCAAGCCTCCACAACATGTGCACATCCGAGCCATCCGCGCCCATGACTTTGCAGGAAAGGCGCCTCGAAGGAGAGAAGCAGCTGGAGAGGATACAGGCCGGGAATAGGGAGCGCCTGTTCAGGGACTGTGATCAGAGATGCCAAAGCAGTGTTTCTTCTGGCGCAGAGGGTCAACTTGGACCTTGGCGCCGTCTCCAAACAGCCGCTGGAGACTTCAGACGACACAACGGAGACACAATGCAAGTAGCAGCTCCCGGCAACACCCCTCTCATCTTTCCAAGCCCAACAAGCGTCTGCACGCCAGACCCTTAACGAAGCATGTATGCCCTCAAAGTCGGTGGTTAAGCCATAGTAGACGCTACGCAGTGAAGGAGTGTCTTAAGTTTGCAAACTACAAGCCCAAAGCTCCAAACCCAAAGCTGCACGTAACAAACCTGACAGCCAGGAGCGCATCGACACCGTGTCGCGGCGGAGGGAAGACGAGCAGAAAAACCGGCAAGTTCGAAGCGAGGACTCCTGCCAAGGCTTTTCTTCATGGTGTGAGAGGCCATTCAGGGTGTGCTTCAGGCCTGCTGAAGACGTCGAGAGAGTGTGGCAGCTCGTGATTTGGTTCTGTGATTCGATTCTGAGCTTTAAGCCCTCAGGAGCAGCACCTGCATCTCATGGACGTCCGCGAAGCCAAGAGCCGCATTGACCGTGTGGACGGCTACAGGCACCTACAGATAAACAGAGTACAGTTTACACTGCAGTGCTGGGCCTGGAGTTGTAGCGACAAATATTAACTTAACATAGCCTGGAGCCCTTCTTAAGATTTGGGCCGTGAGGCGGGACGAGCTTCGCGAGCAGATCGACAGTGCGGGCCTCGAGTGCTGTGGGACCTTCCCTTTCTGACTAGACCTTTACGAACCTCAGTCTTCGCTGTTTAGGGGTCTGTTCCATTGTAATTCGTCTCTAAAACTACTAAATCCAAATCAGTCTTCTATATAGTATGTACCCTCAAAGTGCTGACAGGTTGGCTGCAGTCCCAATGTACAAGGTGTGGAGTCAGTGTAGAGCCCCTTACAACGAGGCTTTGGGCCCCCTTGCTTACAACTATCCGATGTGTTGGGCCTCAGTTTAGCATCCTGTTCTGAAACTCCCATGGGTTCCATGGTTGTGTCATGATATCACGTACATGAACCCTGCTGAAATCGCACCCTTCTAAGGCATAGATGCCTCGACTCCCTGACTGAGGCAACATTGAGCGGATCGAGACGCTGTTGGCTCTGAAGGACACTGGGCGGTTTGTGCAGGTTCGCATTCGTGCCGTAATTTGTTGGAACAATACAGAGCGACCAGACCCGACAAGCGCGAGGCCTTCGTTCAAAGCGCTTTCATGACGCAGCTCCAACCCGTAGCTTGCAGGATCAGCTGCTGGATCAGCGCAAGGCCTTGGCAATTAGCTGTCGACAGGGTGCCAACGCAAGTAGGAACCTGACTCAGCAACCCATTCCTCTCTCCCGAAAAGACTCTGACCCGTATATAAACTCTTATTACGAAGCGAAGGGGTTGTTTATTCAAGTCCCTACATTACAAGCTTGACGCGCGAACTTTGTGGAGCGGCCTACAGAGCGTGCATCTGACTTCTTCTCGTTGAGCTCAGCAACTTAAATTCAACAACAGGGGACCTGTACAAAGTAGTCTCTCTCTCTCTCTCTCTCTCCTTACTTTAATAGTACCCACTTCAGAAACTAAGTCGCTCTGATCGCTACTGTTTCGTTTCAGCATGTAATGGTTCTTGCCATTTAGTATCGTTACCACCATGGTTGCTCTTCTTCTTTGTCATTATTCATCGTGACTCCAAGGCCCGAAGTCACAAAGCCAAAAGCAGTAACAAGTACTCCGGGGGAACTCGTCAAGGCATAGGACCAACCCCTGAGCCTCAAATAGCCTCATCTCCGATAGGCCGAGCACGCTGGTTGACTTCTTTGCGACAGCATTGTACTAGGCTTCATTTTTGGGGGCTGAGCGTGCTTACGGCTTGGGGCTTTATTAATTCAACGTAAAGGATCTATATATAGGATTCCTCGACAAGTTTTCCCAGCCCGTGAGAATCCTGGTTTCATGAAGCTTGCCTGGATGGGGTGAAAGGTCTACCTGAGTCTACTTGCCCTATCCGATGCGATCCCTAAAATTATCAAATTCTTCACGACCGAGACGCACCGAAGATAAATACCGCAGCACGTCTCAGGGCCGCAACACGAAAGTGGAGAGCACGAAAGGATCTCGTGGCGCGAACCTCGGGGTCTCAGTGCGGTAGCGAGGAGAAGTCGGCTCTTGGTTCAGGTGCGGTTGAGGCCCATTTTGACTGGCTGCTTGCTTGATGCTGCCGCAACACGCTTCTGCAAAAAGCTTGAAGCTGCATCTTCAAAGTGCCTTCTGAGTTTCGATCTCTGGTCTATCCTGCACTCGTGAAGTGCTGGAACGCCATAGGAACATATCTCAGGCAACCGCCGGTGTCACGGTGTGCCAGACAGAGCTTTGTGGTAACTTGCTGGACCAGAGCCGACCCGTGTCACGAACCTCACCAACACTGACACCGCATTTTGGACGCGAGCCTCTTCCCCAGGTAAGACTGCAAAAGTCTACGCCCTGAATACTTATACATCCCACATCGGACGTACCTGTAAGAGCCGTTTACAAGCCTTGTAAGACCCTGTTAGAGCCCCCCCCCCTTATTATTAAACACCCTAAGAGCCTATCCATCTCTCCCTTAGTACACACCCTAAGACCCGACAAAAACACTCAGGTCTCAGCTTGAAGCGCGACGTCCAACCCGGCCCTGGCACCTACGAGGTCCCAGCCGCTCTGTTTAGAGCGCAGACAAAGCTGCGTGTCTGCGCGCGAGTTTTTTTTAGCTGGCGAACAGGACTAAGCCGCAAGATGTGGATACAGTGGCTGACCTCGGGTCATGCCCTGCAGCCACCAGTCACTAGGCTGCTATCCGAGTCCGGAGACCTGGACCCTAAATGAACCGCTTTTCATAAAAGCCTGCTGGTCTCGAGCCTTGTTTCGAGGATCCTGCAGTGTAGGAAACTCAGGGCTCTAGATGTTGGTAAGTTGGAGTACGGCCAGTAGATTTCTAGCATTCCACCTCGACCGGCTAGACCTGATCAAGCCCTATAAACATGCAGCTCTCAGAACAAACATTGCAGCGATTGGATGTCACCTAGATCGATCCCAGAGCCCAACAACCGTCAAGTCGATAGAGGCCGCCTCAACCGTGGCCATGCGATTTCGGATCCCTCAGGGATGTGACGGAGTGCCTATAACGCATGTTCTATGCTTTTCTCAGTTTGGTAACTTCGTGTAAGTTCCCTAAGGCTCTTCTCCACCCCAAGATCGAACCATATCAAAGGTCACAGAACCCCTTCGGAAGCCCCCGATCATATGGTTCTGGGATGCTTTCCAACACAAGAGCCTAGCCAAGCTAAACCCTAAACCCTAAACCCTAAACCCTAAACCCTAAACCCTAAACCCTATCATATGGTTCTGGGATGCTCTCCAAGCGCCAGGCCCCGCCGACCTGTCTCCACGAGCTCCCAGCGGCGAGGATCGGGAAGTCCAAGGCCCGTTGAAGCCGCGCCTTTGCAGAGTCATCGAGTCATCGAGGAGGCAGTGTAAAAAAACATATTAGGTTTAGGGTTTAGGGTTTAGGGTTTAGGGATTATAGGGGAAAAAATATTTCTTCCCCTATAATATGTTTAGTGTACTAGGGATCCCGTAGATGTTGTGACTCTCAACAGTAGGTGAACGGGTCGCCTTCCCCGATCCCTTTGCTTGGCAGGCTTCGGTGGTTTTTGGCTGTCGAGTATGGTGATTTGCATTTCTTCAGGGCCGGGATGCTCCGAACCCCATTGCTCATTTAGCGGTGCTAGCCGCTAGCCTCAGCCAGGAAGGCTAGCTGCATTCATCCTTGTGCAAACGATCAGGTTCCTGGTTTGGTCGACGATGCCATCCGGGCCACGCACTCAAGCACTTCTTCCGGGCTAACTGGGCTTGCCCTGGTTGCCAGCAGGCTCTATACTTTAGAGGCTTTCAAAGATTTGTGGCCTCAGCTTCTTCAGCACAACGCATTCCTGGCTTCTCTTTAAGTATCAAACCACTTCATCGTTTATCGTATCCGCTGTTGCAACCCCCACAGAACTCTTTCGCCACAGAACTCCCGCTGCACGGCGGCTTACAGCCGTGAAGTCCTCGGATCAGCTGCCTGTCGCCCAGGGTACGAAGCACAACCCTGCTCCTGGAAGCCGGGATCCCCAAAAGTCGGACGTTCCGAGAGGACGACTGGGGACTTTGTGGTTGAGAGCAGTGCCGGTCGGGGCTCCCCAATCCACAGCGTCAAGTAAAGGATGATGCAAGACAACACTGCGTTGGGTTTAAGGGGGAGCCCAGGCTGTCCTGAAGTTCAACAGCTGGTGCAAAGTCAAAAGACAACGATAGCGACAGCCGATAGCGTTGATATTTTGTAAACGAGAACAAAGCCAACCTCCTGTGACCTCCGACCCTTGAAATTTGAGGTTACGACACCATCCTCCTGCCGAATGGCGACAAGCTCAACCAGCCTAGCGGAGGACGCCGGGAGTCTGAACGCGGAGTCACTACTACTGACCCTATGTGGGACATGAACCATCAGCTCCATTCCGACCTTGAAACTCTAGATGAAGCCCCAACCAGCGTGGTGCTGCCGCTCGCAAGCCTTGATCCCAAGCGCTGGACCCTAAACCCGTTTATTCCCCTGAACCTGAACCCCTAATGGCCTTCGAATTTCCGAACCGATGTGCTCCATGCGAAGGAGAGTTCAACAAGCGCAACCGCGACTCCTTCCTGGACGAAGTGAGGCGGATCAAGGTCCGCCGGCAAAAGGATAGGGTTGAAGTTGAGGGTCGTTGGGCTGGGCTGGTTCCTCCATCACTGCAGCCTTGTAGACAGGAGCTACCTTATGATCTCATGCGCTCTAATTACACTTCCCCCTCCACCATCCCAAAAGCTCAAGCTCCCGAACAAAACTGCATACGAACCCAACAGAGCCCTACAAGAACCATAGCCTCTATAATGCGGTAGAAAGCCATATGAAGTAGAATAAACTCGAGCCTGCTGATCAAAGGCTGATGTGCCTGCTCCCGGATCTTATGCAGCCAAGAGCGAGCTGGACGGCCGCGCCGTGAGGATGTCGCCTGCGGCCCCAGTTGAAGGGTCTTCGAGGTTGCTTTCCATGGGGTATAGATATTCCCACATAAACTCAACAAAATTCTTAGCAGCTATATCGGACTCCGAATATGAGCACATATATTCTTTAGACCTATACTTTTTGTTGCAGGATCCCGAATCTGAATTAAAGGAGTTTTTTCTCGAAAGGGTATTCTGGAAGATCTTGCAACCTAGGGCTTCTCCTGGAGCACCCGTACTGCCGCCGGTATACATGTGTATACTGTATACATATATATATATATATATATATATATATGCATACGTCATATACATATAAATATAGGTATATGCGTTATATATATACACATGTATATATTATGGTGTGTGTATATATATATATATATATGTATGTGGATGGAGAGGAGAGGTCGGCTCCACACTTTTTGGACTTGGGCAGCGAGAATTGTCATAATAAGAGCAGGCACGATTCGAAGTATTTTTCCTTGGGGTTTCCGAGTAGAGTTGCAGCTTATTTAATCAAGGCTTCCCACACCGTAGTCTGGGGTTACTATCACGGCTTCTGAGGCGCGAGCGCATCGTTGGCGAGAACCTGGATAAGCATTCTGCGAAGAGGTGCTCTGGCTCTGACGCTCGGGCTTTGCTGCACGTGTCCTATAGAGCAGAAAGAGTGGGTTTTTACGTGCGGATGTCGCATTATGGTGTGCGAGCACAAGTATGCCCCGCATGTGTACTTCGGATCCTTTGGGTGGTTACCTTGTAGATTGGCAGGTGGCAGACTGGTTAGTACTCAGGGAAACAAGGCCGTTGAAGCGCAAGTTGCACTGTCTGCCTGATGGGTTCCCAGCTGCACTTCCGTATTTATTATAGGTCCTGAAGCGCAAATTTAAGCGTATAACTGTACTACGATATACACCCTAAACCCATTCAAATTCTTCAGGCCCCTGGACTAGTCTGAATTCCGCACCCATGCCGTGAAGGTTCCCAATTTGGGCGCGGCCTTCGACTGACACTCCGGGTCCTGCGGGCTACAGTGTGGATGACTACACACGCAAGGAGGCCTGTCCCTTGGAAGTGTTTCACCAGTGGGACTTCAGAACTTGTGCATCGGATACCGCTTTCGGGCTTTAGGCTGGTTTGGGGCGTGTCGAGGCCGTGGGCTAGGCAGGCATGCTCAAATCGTCTGGAAAAGCATGGTATATGAAAATGAGGAGCATGGCAGCACAGCCTGTCTTTTTGTGCAGCATCGCATCTCGAAGGTAATCCTGAGTCGATAGTACGCACGCCGGCCATCATCGACCCAACACGTGTTGATCGATACACTCCGATACACTTCAGTCGGCAATCTGCTGGATGTTCAGACTTGGTGCAGGGTGCCGTTCGGACATGTTCGCGGTATGCTTTCCAGACCGGGAGTCGGCGGACAGGTCATGCGGCGGGCGCAGAAATCTTTGCCGAACCTTACCCGGGACATGCTCAGGCTGGGACATGTTTGCACAAGACTTGGGGACCGTATGCTTTAGGGCTGTAGGTAGGGTTTAGGATCTAGAGTTTCGAGTCTAGGAGTGGGGCTTTAGTGTTCGGGAATTTGGGGCTGAGGGCAAGGCTTCAGGGTTTATTTGGGTTCTTTTTGAGCATGCTGCTCCTGCAAGCCATACCTCGCTGATTCTTGCGATTGGGGCAGCTGCTGCATCATAGCTTGCTCGTGCCAGGTTCCGTCAGGTCTTACAGGGCTCAGGCTTCGCCTAAGTCTGCACTGAACTCAAGCAGCCGCCGATGCAATCTCATGGCCAAAAGCAGGGCCAAAGCCTCAAGATCGTGCACCTCATTCCTTCACAACTGGATAAAACCTTTTCTCGTTTCGACAACAGGACCTGACTATCTGATGTTTAGATTGCCGAGCGTCTCCGCAGCCATCACACTTCGAAGCTGTTTCCACAACAGCCGTGTATACCTCTCAGCCCTGCACCCTCAAACAAAATAGAGCCCCAGAAGTTCCAATAGAACAACACAAGCCGCGACCCTAAACCCACAACGCCTATGCTGCCCCGAATCCCTCTGCCATTCCAACTTGCGCCTCAGGCCCGGCAAAGTTGAAGGCTAAAGACGAAGGCCTAGGCCTAGGCCATCCAAAGTTCACATGTCCGGAGTTTTCCGGGTCATGGAACATGCCCCAATTGTGGAGGGCGCATCCCTTTGTCATTACGGTGTCTTCCTGCGGGTATCTTCTGAACTTGATTAGATCAGGAGTCCTGCAATGCCTCACAGCCCCGCAGATCACTACACTCGGCACTGAATAGCTGAAATGTGGGTCTCTTTATCTGCAGATTCCCAGAGGACGCAGCGCCTAATTGCATGTCGGATCGATGGCTTAAGCTTGATTATTTGGAACCCCCAGCCTGGAGTGTCTGGTTCCCGAAGCGCATCCCCTGAACTCTGAACTGATGATGAAGATTGGGAAGGTCTTGCCGATTGAGGTCTTCAGAGCATCAACTGTGGGACCTAAATGGGGGAGTATTAGTGTATGAGCGAGGGTCACGATCGTTGACTGCTCTTGTGCATCAGCAGACCAAACACAAAAGGTCACGATCTGAAACCTAATATGCCGGCATTTGTTCGCTGCTTGCTTTCCACAGCCAAATGCCAACAAGACCCACTTGCCTTGTGTACCTAAAGGCCTTGACCCCTCCTGCCACATGTAGCTGAGGAGCTATCGGTTCACATGCGTCTGTGTTGCGAGAACGGGTAGATGCAGCATCTTGGATCCTCAAGCCAGCCCGCGCTACCGCAGGCAGTCTTCTCCACCAGGCTTTGCATCGCCGATGGGTTTGCAGAAAGTGTGGCCGAAGGAGGACGCGCGCCCTAGGTCCCTGGGTGCCAGACCGGTGGACAGTCAACCCTGAACTCACTTGAGGCCGAAGTCCCGAGACCCCCGCCAGGAAACTCACTTGCTGTCGGTGAGCCCCTTCCCACTAACCGTGCAGAAGCAGATGAACTACTATCGCCGTTCTCAGCCTCAGGCCTCGAACCAGCGACACAGGTATATCGAAGCCTAGATTCTACATCCCTCAAGCCCGCGCCTCTCTTGGCAGTCTTGTTGTGTTGTTGTCTTGCTGCGCAAAGCGCACCATTTGCAAATGCTGGCAATTGCCATGCAGTAAGTGCAGTGTTTCACCCGAACCTCCCGTACCTTCGAGGTCTGAAAACCGGCAATAAGAACCCGGATGGAAGCCCCTGCATGGCTTCAGGGATTAGATTGTCTCGGTTATGCTGCGTTTTTTGGGGTACAGAAACTTCGTTCAAGCTGTTCTCTCACACCCCCGCCAAATCTCTGCAAGGCCCTGCACGTTCTGGCAGCCTTGCTTAGAGAAAGCTTCAAGGTTTCCAGGCTCGCTAGGTAAAGCGTAGTCTCGCATGAAGCCCGATACACGCACCATTTGCTCAAGGTTTGCCCCATGTCCCTATGTTTTCTGGATGGAACATGAAATCGACCTGGACGCGGAGGATTTTCTGTTTCACGTCTTCTGCACGTCTCGATACTTCTGCCTTCTGGAAACCAGAACGAATGCAAATAGCCAATAAATAAATATAGTAAATAGCCCAGCACTGGAAGACGGTAGTCCAGCTCTTGCGGTTCGAGTAGTGCTGCGTAGAAGGCCCGTGATGGAACACACGGTCGGGCAGCAAACCCAAAATCGCCCCAAAGAGCCAGCTCGACGGAGTCTTGAGACCGGCAAGCTTGTGAAAGCAAGCGCCTTCCGACAGTCTCACCAGCTGGAGAACTCAGGAGTGCCGGCGAAGCGAGGGATGGAGCCTTCTGGGGCCTAGTTAGTGAAGGAGGAGAAGCTGAGAACACTCGCCAAGTTGGGGTAAGACTTCGCTGAGCTTCTCCGCACGCCTGGATGCCGGCAGAATTCATGCCGCTGACACAGACTACATACGAGAGCTGGCGGGCCACGCACGAGTAGCGAAAGGTTCTCTACGTCGTCACAGCCATGTGCAGTCCTGGCTGTTTTCAGCTACATACCTCGGCCTCATACACATCTCCACCTGCATGCGGGACATAGGTTCTTTCGCTGGAGCTATAAATAATGAAGATGTATGTTTCCCACACTAGGCATATAATTTTGAAAGCCGAGGCCAGGATACGAAAACAGGATGAGCCAGCTCTCGCCGGAAGCATTTGCGCTCCTAGATCTGATTGCTCCCGTATCTTAGAAAGCTTCCCCAAGATTCCAAGTGGTGGCCCTTAGCTTCAATCCAAGTCCATGGCTTCAGCATAGTGGCGCATGCTTTCGTATTGGGTGTTTATCAAAGCATTGCTGTTTATGAAAAACGCTTCGCTTTCGAAGAAATATCACCACGTCCCGAAATCCCCTCTTACTCAGCTGATTCGGAGAAGCTTCCGGAACCCTGGTTCTCAAAAAGGTGTGCTACTGCCCTGTTGTGTGTCGCAGGGCCGGCTATGCACCTGACAGCCGAATGCACACAGTTCAGTAGTTCAGAGTGAGGACCTGGGCTCCAGAGCACCCGGCTCAAGACCGGAAGATGCGCATCCCACGAGCCCTGCCGCATAAGGCTAGAATCGGTATGTGGCATCACGAAAGACTCCTCACATCGAGCCAGAAGCCCCAAGCCCCTGTCAATACCAGTCTCAAAACTGCTGGAATCACCGCAATATATCCTAAGCCATCATGGACATGGCTTTTCTTGGCCGTGCCCGGCGGTGTCCTCAGTTGTTTACCTGGAGGCCAGAAACGAGCAATTGGCAGGGCTTAGAGCAACTGGGTTCAGGCACGAACGAAGCAAGGAGGCTTGCAGCCATGTCAAGCCACCATTGCGAGTCCCAGGCTTGCGCGATGGGGAACGTGTCCTGCAGTGCATGCCCCAGCAAAGGAGTTGAACTCTAATCGTGCAGCGCTTCTTGCTGTCAACTGCCCTTCTGCGGCCTTGCTGCGTTTAGCCTTCAGGGGACAGTCGGTACTTTGAACTGAGCACGAACGGCTTCGATGAATACCGGGGTTTGCTACAGCTAGGGGTGCATCATTTAGGGGTCCTTATAATGAGGAGCATACTACTCTTTAGGGTCCCCTACTTGCTGAAACTGCCACTTTCTGGCCTCAAGGATGCAGAGACGTGGAAGAGAACCTTAGAATTCAGGGTATGAGGTGTAGTGTCTATTCAATTAGGATTTCGGGTGTAGGATGAGATTTGAAAGAGACCGCAGAAGCAGCTACAGCCTGGATCCTGGCCTCAAGCCTGAAACCCTGAAGCCCTGCTTGAACCTGTAGACCCCAAAATTGTGTGAGCCCGACCGTCGTGGGCCAAGTCTTGCAAGGCAAAATTATCCGAGCTGCTGGTTGCTCCGACCTGGCCGTCATCGTCAAAGGCGGCATAATTTCCTCAATTTGGGGGTTGATAAAGGACCCCTGGTTTTCGCAGCAGTTTTCGCATGCAGGCGACACGCTGCTTTAGATGTTCAGCCTAAGCCTACCCTATACCCATATAAGACCGGCGAACACTAAAGTCTACAAACCCGGCTGAACCGTTGTTTAGGAACTCGCCTCCAACCGATGCATCCCTTTCGCAGAGCAGATCCCCTAGCCAGAAAGCTGCCATTACCTGACAGTGTGGGGTTGAAGGGTTCAGAGGCTAAGCGTCTGAGCATAGAGCTGAAACTTTAGGGCTTAGGAGTTGAGGGTTTAATCTGCCCAGCATCCCTCCGTGAACACCCAATCCTTTGATTATCCATGCATTGCATGGGCACCACTCTAGCAGGTCTGGGCCGCGATGCTGGAGGTGGGGACGACGACGAGGCCCGTCTTCCTCAGTGCTAGGGGCGTTTGAGGTTGGAAAGTGGAGTCCATGAGTTTTCCTGAGTTCTAGAGATCTGGCTGGAAGGCTTTATGGTTGCAGAGAGTCTGATTTCAAAGTGATACTCATCCTAAAGCACATCTCAGATACATATATACGTGTTGCAACTCGGTCACTTTGGGTTTATTTTGGAGACTTGGGGTTGAAAGATGTTACTCAAAGGCGCCATTCGGTTGGCCGCGGTGTTCAGTTGCCGTCATACTACGAGAGGGGCTGCCCCCGCTCTAACTCCCAAGGCTCCTATGTTTGCACTATAAAGCCGGCTCGAACCCTAGTCTAGTTGCGCAGGCCTTGTATTGAGTGCGAATGTTCGACAAATCGCCGAAAAATCGGCAGCTGCAAGCAAGTGGCGCAGGAAGGCATCAAATGCCGGAGTGTTAGAACCCGGCAGATTCATGAAAGCTGTTCATCTCCGTGACATGAGACTTCAGCATGCAATCTTTTGAAGAAAGTTGCACTTGCACACCTGAAGTCACCTTGTAAATGAGTCTCCAGCCGCTGGTCGCAGAGTTGCACCCAGTAGGGATCTGAGCATTTCCTTTCTTGTCATATTTGTGAATTCTTACATACTGTGTGCACATATATATATATATATGGGTGGTTGTAAAAACTATGGTCCTTTTTTGGGTCCTTATTA